TTAAATATGTGACTACGGTTTTTTTTATTCCAAATCCCTTTAACTATTTAATTTCAATTAAATAAATGTAAATTATATATTTATATTAACATTGTGCATAATGATCAATCGAACTAAGAGGACCCCAGGGAGATTTCCATGCCTAATCTAGACAAGACGCCCCCCCCCAAAAAAAAGAAGGGAAAAAAAGCTGGCATAAATTTATGTGGAAGCACCGACATTTTCTAAGTGCTTAGAGCAGAGCACATACCCAAGTGTTGATCCATCATCATCTATCCACTATAATAAAAACACAAACAAGAGAATCTGCTGTGAAATATATTGACACCGAAGCAAGTCATGCCCAGTTAAAGAACGAAACTCAGCAATTCCATCCTCCTTTGAAAATCCCGAATGCAGTAACAGGTGGCAGAACAACATTTAAATTTAAACGACAACTTATCATATTTCTTTAAGACGGTATTCAAAAATATATTTCATCCATAATTTTGCAGTTTGAAATATTTGAATAAAACTTTTGTAATTTTATCGATTAGAGTCTCTCCTTATTGACAGTTTTTGATATTTTTAAACTGTCTGTATTTTATATTTTCAGGACCAATTTTATCTATGAATTATTCGTGCAAATTGTTAGTAGCAATTTTAACAATTTCGTACACATTGTTAAAGGCATTCATTTTTCTCATGGTTTGCGTAAGCGCAAAGGTTTTGGCCTTGACTTCGTAATGCATTCTCTTTCTGCAAAGGATGCACTGCGATTGGTCTTAAAATAAAAACTTAAGTTTATTTGATTCTTAATGCATTTTTTTCACCAGCAGTTCTGGCTACTTATTCTATGCATTGCGTAGGCCGTAAATAAGAATTAAGGCGTATCATCTTTGTCGGCGGCAAGTTTCATATGGTTGTCGTTCACTTAATGATTATCATATGGCAGTTTGCGAAGAAGCCTTTATTAGCAAATGATGCGTATTTTTAGTCGGGTTTTGAGCACAAGCTTTCGTCAAATAAGCATATTTTTATTTTGGTTTTTGGAGCTTTCCTAATTCATAACAGAGCTTAAGGTATCCGTCCACTTCGGAACACTTTTTTTCTTTAAAAAAGCAGTGTAAATATCCTATAAACACATTTTATCATTTATTATCTACAGAAATTAATTATGGAATATCAAAATTTAATAAAAATTAATAAAAATATTAAATTTATACCAAATTTTAAGCAAATTTTAAAACAGTTTGAAACATTATATGAAAAAATATTATATTAAAAAAGTCATACAATAATAAATTACATCCTTTTATCTAGGGAATGAAGTAGCATTTTAAGGATATCTTAAATAATAAAAAAATTCAGAACTTTGAAATTTTTTTATGAGATTTTTGATAAACTCACGTTGTCATTACGTCAACGTCACGTTGTTTGTAGGCAAATTACTAGCATGTAAACCTGCAGCGTCAATCAGAATTCCTTTCCAACTGTCTGTAAATCTATTCTTAACACCATTGTAACATCTGTAAATAAAATACCTGAGAGTTAAAACAGATGCGTTGCTATCATAGGTCTTGTTTTATGTTCGTGTTCCTTTCCGTATCACATTGCTCTAATTTTGTATAATATCAATAAAAAGGGAATTTGCAGTCTGATTTTCCAACTTCGCATTTGAAAGCTGACATAAAGCTGCATCTGTGCAACGTGAGAAGTGAGTTAACAATTACTGATCTGTCATTCAGTCTGCTAAAAAATCTGTTTCGTTGCATTATGGTACAAGTATGCTAGATATTAAGAAGCTAGATTTACAATATTTCGTATTTTGGCAAGACATCGTTTTTATATGCTCTCTTAACAAAACCCAAAGTACCCGTTTTCAGATTTTATTATTATTAGTAAATTCAAGATTGCAGATAGGCAACATATGTTATTTGAATTTGGCAAAGGACTATGTGCCTAGGGTAAGGATGCATTTATGGAGTTCTTTCTAAGGGAAACTGTCTGGCATTCAGTATGGATACTGATGGGAAAAACAATCATGGAGCCAGCCTGTTCCACCTCGGATGGGAACCTGGTTTGAACTACCAACATTAAATGATATTAACCACTCGGCTGCTGTTGGAGTATGTAAATTAATAGCTGTTCCTATTTATTAATATTATTTTGCGTGGTGACCGTTCTTATGGATCTCCTGAATAAATAGATTAGATTATTACGTGTTAACGATTCTTGTAGATTTCTCTAGTAAAAGATTAAGTGAAGTGCAGAATCACTGGCAGTATTAAGTCCAATTACTTAATTGTAATTATTGTTAATTATCAATTGTTTACTTAATTGTAATTAAGTGATTAAGTCCACAACTTTGAAGTCGAAACAAGTATGCAGAATAGCTTACTGAGTAAATCATAAAATTCATCTGCATTTGAATCTACGCCAAGAGCTAGACTGGATAAAGACTGCTGAAGACTGTCCAGGATTCAAACCAGGCAGGCTGGATCCCTGGTTGGTTTTCGTAGTTTTCGCCAAATGTTACCTGAATACGACCCAGTTTTCCATAGGAAATCCTCCACTAAGGCCTTCTTACCCATAGGTAAATATCCTTCGAATGTTTTGGATATTCAAATAACCAGTCAGCAACCAATCAGAATTAGACAAGCTTGGTTTGCAACTCTCGCGCAGCTCTATTTATATATATTGCCAAATGGAGGAAAGGCACAATTATAATTTTCAAAAATAAATTTCAGGCATCGACTAAATATATTTTCTAGAAACTTTTAGAACGTCGCCAAGGCTCATTTTTGATATTATTTCAAAAATGTTTTGGCCAAATATACTTCTGTTATGGGTCAAATCAGTGTTTCCTTCAATTCAGACGTCACGTTGAGGACGCACGATGATATATATGAGTGTCACAGATCATTTATGAAACGTCGAATGGCAGTATTTCCTATGTTTAACTAGACGCAAGTCTTTATGCAAACGCTTTTGTCCCGCGCAGTGAAAACAGTAAGCTGCTGGGAAGATTAAAAATTCTATCCCCTCCATATCTAATATATTTTTAAGATTGAATTAATTGAAATTCATCGAAATCGAAATAAAATTCCTAATACTTGCGCAGTAGCTGCAAAGTAATATAATAATAATTTATTTACTAAAGTGATATTGAGTATATTGTCTACTATTAGTATTTTTAAAAGTATGTCTACTAATAGTATTTTTATAGTTTAAATTGAATTTTAATCATGAAAAATAGAAATGGAAATTTTAAAACTGAAAATAAATAAACTAACTAATTATCGTCATTGATCGGAAATTAATTGACTTTTCAAAGGGGAATAAAACCAACCCCGTTCAATTAACAATAATTAATAAATGCGAAATGTTTCGTCTTTTACTCAGGTAAGATGTATGATGCCAAACTGGCAATTTGAGTTTAAGTCAAACTTGTGAGTTGAGTTTTAATCCAAATTAGTGAGATTAAAGTTATAAGGTATTACTCCTGCTTTCTTAGCGTGCCTTTATAGTGTAATGCTCAGCACGCTCGACGCGTATTCAAGAGGTCCGTGGTTCGAGTCCCGTTGAGGGCATTGCTTATTTTTCATCTCTCCTACTTCCAAAATACCTAATGTCTCTGAAAAATGAGATGAATTAAAGTGAAGTACTATAAAGAATTCATTATAAAAGTAGCAGTTCCGTTAAATTAATGAATGTTTTAGAAATCTTGAGATATTATTGCCAAATTGAGTAGTAAAAATAAAATTTCTCTGCTAGATTAAGTAGTAGTAAAAATTTTTTCTATTTTACTTGAGTAAGGTACTTTACCTGAGAATATGTATATGCATAAAGTAAAAATTACTACGATTTTCTGAATTCGTTATGTGCTATAAATAATATATATAAGCACTTTTACAAAGAGGAGTGTCACTTATAAAAGTTGCGTTATATGATACGGATCAGAAAGTTTAACAGTAGCAAACTCGCTTTTATTTGATAATGCTATGAGATATTATTTGGAAAGGCAAATTAATCTGTGCATTACTTAACTTTTTCTAAATACAATGCAAATTTAGTATTTAGTAAATTTAGTTTTTAGTAGAAACAGGAAAGAAGGTAAAAGGATTGTAAAATAATCATTGTAAACAAAAATTGTTTCAATTGTTTATAAGGTAAATGCGAGCCTTGTATTTTCCTGCTGAACATTTTCCACGACAAATCACCCACCCCACCCCCCGCAACCACCAAAGCAACATTTGTTAGTTTCCTTAACCTAATCTTTATTAACTCGACGATGCTGATCGATATGCTATGTCTTGTGTTCGTGCGTATAATTTCTTCAAAATTTTAGTTATATTTTCTCGCTGATATGGAGAGCATTGAAGTGTAAAACTGGAGAATTTTATTTTTTAAAGAATTTTGCTATACGTTTAAAAGTGACCAGGAAGAAAGAAACAGTTGTTAGTTGTCCTTGAGGTTGCCTTCTCCGGCATTTCAAGTAGCCACTTTGCAGCTAATTATTGTTCTTTCTTATCCTTGTCATAAGACTCCGAGATTTTGCACGCGAATGAACGTGTTTCCTTTTCTTCTTTTAAGACCACTTTCTAGCTGCGATAATGGAAGCTTTGTCGAAGTTTTCCTGAGTACCCGAGCTCAACAACGAGTCCTAACTGCCTCCAAATGGCAAACGCTGATGCCACAAAAAAAAGAAGAATGTTATTATTCTTCCGTCCGCCAGAGATCCGACGTTTTGATTATTTCCGAGGCTTCACACCATCACCGCCTCATTCTTCTAAGCATATGCGAAAGCGTTATGGGGGACCGGTTGGTGTGGGGGAGGGTGTAGAGTTTTTCGACTCCACTAGGGTGTCCAACGAAGCGACGGGTGGGCATTTCGGATGAAATTCCGCATTCTAGCGCGTGCTTCTGTGTTGATCCGTTGCGGTGGGTGGTTTTGGTAGTGCCAAGACCTGAGAGGCAGTTTTAAACAGTTTGTTCATGATGACTCTCTTGTGTTGCAGTGGACGGAGATCGGAGGACAAGCTCAAAGCCACAGAAGGAAGAACGTTGGATACAAACAAGGTATGTACTATTTTCTATTTTGCCATTTCCTTTTTACGGAATTAATATTTTTTTGTGAATATAACCTTCAAATGGTGTGGTGGTAAACATCTTTGAGCTCCCAAATGGTGACCTCTATTTCTGGTGATATGTCATGTGTACCTGAGTACCATCATCATATTTGATGAAAATATCAAAATATATTAAATTAAGCCTCTCTCCATTAAGAATTAATTATATATGTGTAAGGTATTCGTGATAAGTATAATTTTATTTATGATCCATAAACTCAATCATGCTAATTACATACAAATATTTTACCATACCATTTAAAGGCTAAATCTGGAATCTCTTTGTGGTGCTCGAAAATAGGTTTCGGGTACATGCATTCAAATTATATATTACGTTTTTGTTTGGAGTGGTAAATCTGAATTGATTATTTTGTAGAATTTGCAGTGATGCTGAGATAGTTACGTCATGTATAATTTAGGTGAATGTTTTAGAAATACACAAAATCTTTTAAGTGCAGTATACGGTCTTATCATCGAATGGAAATAATTAAATATCGGGTAACAACGTTAAAGCTAATGTAATTAATTCTAACCTATAGCAGAGTACTCGAAATAAGCCGAGCAAAAAAAAAAAAAAAAAGGGGGGAGGGAGGAAAAAAAAACAGTTGCTTTACAAAAGTGGTGTTCCAAGAGAGTAAATAATAAAATTAAAAAGCAGTTGAACTTATTAAATTTAAATGCTGGCAAAATTTCCTTATTATGTCCCCTGATAATGCTAAATTTGCGTAAGAATGCATGTCCGATTTTTAATGTAATTTGCATGTAAATTAATGTTTGTTCAGTTTCTTTTTTTATGGTTCCCTTATAATCGAATTACTAAAAATTTGCATGCTATTAATGCTTTAACCTCTTTATATGCTTTACATTTTAACTGGTAAATATTCTAATTTCTTCAGGAATTCTGTTGTAACCCTTACTGCATGACAGATTCTGATATTTAATTCTTACTGCGAATTTGTTTAACTTCTTCACATCAATAGAAACTTATTCATTCCAAACACTTGGAACTGTCGCTTTGAAGAATATTAAGTTCCAGAGATTTTTTTTTTTTTGGGGGGTGGGTGGAGTTTTAGGAAGAAAATTGCTAGAACATAAAAGTCGTGAAAGCTAAGAATGTTGTTGCAAGTTAAAATTTACAGATTTTCAAATTTCTATACTGCATTTTCAGTCATTAAGATGTTACATGAGCGGTAAATGTAATCTGCATCGATTTATCAGCTGTGTTTTAAGTATTTTGAGAATAAATATATTTATAATTTTAACTAAATTGTAGTCAATGACTTCAGAATTAATTTAACTTAAATCCGGGAAACTGTTTTGGCGTATTTAAAAGTATGTAACATTTCCACTGGTTTATATCCATACAGATTTAGTTTTTAAAGATTTCGTGGAAAAGAAACATATTGTTACGAATTTTATACACATGTAAATAATTTTAGTGAAATTATATGTAAAACTGTAGTCCCCCTCTTTTTTTATTTGAATAATGTAACATGAAAGAAGCGAAGCTTTGCCGTAAAAGTAAGAATACAGAAGCAAGTCTATTTCACATTGAGTAAACAACTGCCTCCGTAAATTAGCAAGATATCGCCATAAGTCGCCAAACTTGGCGGCATTTTTGTCCACCGCATGTATAACTGTAATTGGTATTGTTGTTGAATAAATGTAATGAATCTAGATATGTAACTATAACGGTATCCGGCACTGATATGCTTGTCAGTAACGTGGAAGGCACTAGAGTTTTCTCGGCGGCCGGGAGAAAACTGTATATGACCGTAGAGAGCATCAGTTCCTAAGTTGTTTAGTTCAGCGTGAGTTCGGTGTACTGAGAGATCTCCGTAGGAGTTTAGATGCGCTCATTGCGTTATGTTTAACGTTTTTAGCACTTTCAAATGTAACTACTGATTTTATTCTGTGATACTGAAAGTTCCAAAACTGTTAAGTATTCCTTTTTTATAAAATAAATTTCATCGGGCTACGATTCTATAGTCTATTACGAACTCGTACACAAGCAACAATTTTTTTCTTTTTAAAGTTTCATATCATTACGAATTAAACTGGTCAGTCAGTAAGTTGCCGTATAAAAAACGTAATTTTTTTTTTTTTTTTTTTTTTTTTTTTTTTTTTTTTTTTTTGGTTTCACAAAATAGATCCTTCTAAAAAATAATCATGTTCGAGATATCATTATGCTTGTTAGCAATAAATGTTTGTCTAGTATTTCAGACAAGTATTGTATTCATGTATTAGATTCTATAAAATTGTTTCGTCTCTATCACCAAGCTGATGTAGCCTTAATTTCTTAAATTAAAATTTTAACATAGTCGTAATATTTGCAATAAACTAAATGGTAAAGCAGTCGCAACGCGTATTTATTATTTCCAAATTAAATATAAGCTGAGTGTGAAGATTCTTTTCAAACAATGCAACAGGGTCGTTATCAGCAACATTTTTTTTTTTTATAACTTCGATGGTCGGACATATTTGGTAGGTTGAACTGGATACCAACTAGATAGCCCTTATTGTTGATGTTGGTGGAAATGCTCCTGTTTGTAATCGTTGATTTGGTTGAGATTTTCAAGTAGAGTTTTCTTCGTGAAATATGGACGTTTGACAACCCAAAGATAGGATTTGTTCAAATTCCTTAATAACAGAATCAGCTTCTATTTCACTAAATCATCATTTTACGATTGTGGAGGTTGATATTGTCTTTTCCTCTTAACTCCCCTTTTATTGAGCTACTGACGCTTCGGAGTGTAGAGTAGCATTTTGGTCCTCCATTAAAAAAAGATGCGTGTGGCAATCAATCTTTTGATCTGGTTCAACGGAGTTTTTTCAACGAAACCCTGCGGTTGCAGAAGTATGGTCGTAAATTTGCTATCAGATTGAGAAACCATTTCCCCCCCCCCATCACCTTGTCTAAGGCAATATTTGGGAGGAATCGGTATTTCCAAGAATTTTGTCAAGGCCCGTCCGACCTTCCTTTTGTTTCGTTGACCTACGCGAAGTTTAAGTCGAAGGTAACATTTTCGGATCGTCTAAAATGTTGCGATTAAAAATTTGCCGTTTTTAATCAGACTTGCTGACGCTCAAAGCCAAAAAATAAATATATACATAAATAAAAGAAAAAAAAATAAAAATAAAAATAAATAAATAAATAAAACTGAAAGCTTTTAGATTTTACAATTTTTGTTTTGTTTGGTTTTTTAGAATGTGTTTCAACCCTCCTGGCCGATAATAATCGGCCTCATGGTTAACGCAGCACACCCGACGCAGACAAACAAAAATACAGTTAAAAGATAAAAACAAAAAATTAAAGTACAGATTAATACAGATTGTGTATCTTTAAAAATACACTCACACAATACAAAATAAGGAAAATCATAAGCATAATCGGTTAGAAAACAAAAAAATAGTAAGACGACACATAACTCACTCACCCAACACATAAACTCGTAAACAAAAGAAAAACTAAAATATTTAATGTCCTATTCCTATGATAGTCTTAGGAATAGGACCTTTATTTATTAAATATCATGTTCTTCGCACTTAAAGCATAAAATTCAATTCAACCGCAAAATAATTTTAAAATGAGCATATCTTATATTAAGAATTTCGGAAACCGAGACTCACGCGTTGCAGATAAATTTTTTTTTTTTTTTTTTTTTTTTACAGTGTTGCCATTACTTGCTTTGAAATTGTTGAGTTTGAGAGTTGAGTCAAAAATTCGTTAAAGTGTTACAAAATATGAAATCGATAATAAAACAAATTCCAAATTTGAACCTTCCAGATTACCATATTCGGTAGAAGATTACGTTATTCAAAATTTGATGGCTCTAGGTACCGTTGTTTTATCCCAATGCGAGAAACACATACATTAATGGAGATTCTTCATTATTTAATTTCTTTAAGTATAGCACAGGGCGAGGGCGATAGTATTTGGTGGCAACAATTTGAAAAGTGAGCCGCCATTTATAGTGAATCAACGCAAAATGCCAAAAAAGTTAATAAATTGCCCCTTTGGACTAAAAAAAAGCTTTTATGAGAAACTCATTTCTTCTAGCATTAATATGAACACTAGATTTCTAGCCATAACTTTTGGAAAAGAGCGAGACTTCAGCGTTCATGACGGAAATGCAGTTTCCATGAAGAAAAAAAAAAGATTATTAAGAACTAGAGAATAATTTTGGGCTCTCCAAAAATATACGGCCGTAAGACCTCTAATAAATATTCCACTGATAATTGCCACTGATTTTAATGGAATATTATTTTTAAAAAAAATACTGGAAAAATTTGTTATAAGTTATTGGAATCATTTTTCCTCTCAAGAAGCTTAATTGTAACTCTTTTAGTACAGTGCAAAGTTTAACTGCCGCAATCCTTAATAAATGTAAGCACCTGAAGACATCACCTAAACGGAGATAGATTTCACGTTCACTCACGTATCACTCTGTTTAATATGATAAGCTGAGATCACCTGAGATGCCGTGACCTCATAGGGTACGTTAGGAAGCGCAAAACGAGAGGAGTCGGCGCGCGCAGAGTGCAAGAAAAAGAAGAAGTGAAGGCGCATTTCTAGGCATTCTTCTGCTAGTAAAAGTGAGATTGTACAAACAGTATGGCAAGAAGAAAACATCAGGGCGCCTTCGTATGATGTGGCAGAATGGTTCGTACGCTTGAAGAAGAGTGTAGTTTGACGTATGTCGCCCGAAAGTTTGGAATTATGAAAGTTCAGTTTCACGAGCATGGAAAGCCTTCGAGACGATAGGTATAGCTAATAAGAAAGGTTGCCGAGGAAAACAATGGTGACGATGGACTGATGTATCGCCCTGAAGGCGGAAAGAGATCGAAACTAGATAGCGGGCTACATCGCTCAGCATTGGCGACCGGATGATAGGTGTCCCAGTTTACCGTGGCCAAACGACTCTATAAAAGTGACCTATTCGCCCGCCG